GTCGGCTCGCGATGTTACTACGCTGTGCCCTTAAAGGACCAGACCTACTGCAGGGCGAAGGGCACTGGACGAGACCGGACCCACGATCAGTGATAACCTCTGTGAGGCGACCATCCAACCCCAGCCTGTGCTGCCGCCTGCCGGTCGGCCGCGGAACCCCGGCCTGGGAACGCTCGGCGCTCGCCATGTGCGCCGGTTGTGCGTGTGGCCCGGGGGCAGGGATGCGCGCGGGCGGGGTCTATTTACCCCTTCCCACGGGCGCTGCGTCAGGAGCGGAGGGCCGCGTGCGCCCGGCGGCCGCGCCGCTGCCCGCCAGGGGTGGGGCGCCGAGCTGCTCCCGTCACGTGGCGCCCCGGCGGGCCGGCCGGCCGGCAGACACGCGGGGCCGCTGACCGTGGCGCCGACGCTAGCCGGATCCGCTGCCGGATGTCGGCTGGTGGTCACTGCAGCTTACTGGTGCAGCCATAGGGCTGCTTGGAGGGACGTAACGAAACCCAAAACCTTCGACCTTGACGCTTCCTGACAGCTTTGAAAACTTCTTGATAATCGGATAGCCTCTGCAATGTAAGAAACGGGGCCTCGAAGACGTAAACATAGGAAACCGAGCTTAAAAACGCATTTCGAGCACAAACAGGGCTCCTTTGGCGATGGCGCTGGACCCTAGGGTGAAACAAGCTCCCTGTGCCTCGGTTTACCCCTCGCCTGGGCGAAATCCTGGTTACGACACAGCTGCGGACCGGGGTAATGTGCGCTGGCAAGTAAGCGGCAGGGTTGCAGTTCCGGAAATCAGCTATGATGGCTCAGACTGGAACCAGCTAATGCCAGGCAGCACAAAACTTGATTTTTGTCTTCAGATTTGAACCACTTTGTTTCACCATTTCAAAGAAAAAGGCACATTACCTATTCAAGACGTGTATTAATTATTCGCCATTGCTGATTAAGGTAGCATCCGGGCTGCAAAGAGGTAGGAGCGGTTCATTATCGTAACGAGCAGGAGAAGATGGCAAACAGAGGTCTCGTGCATTCAGCTAGGAAAAATTTGGCCGGCCTAAATCAAATCACTAAATTTCAATTTCAGTTAAATTTCAGCTAAATTTCAATCGCTAAATTTCAAAAAAAATTCAATTTCAATTAAATTTCAACTAAATTTCAATCACTAAATTTCAAAAAAATCACACCCCCACTAAATTCAATCCACCTACTAAATCAAAACCCTTTCGACTCAATCCCCTAAAACAAAAGTGACTCCCAGTAAAATCCATATCAGTTCATTCACATTGTCAAACAAGCAGTGTGGCAAACGTAGGATGCATATAAAAGAACTTAGATACTACCCTTAACAGTCACTCTTTCAGGTCATTCTAAGCATTAGAGATAGTCACCATGTAAACAAGCAATCTAGTGCTCAATCATATCCCTCTGATGTCTGCCGATCGAGTGCGGCCTAATCCACTTTAAGCACCACAGACACCGAATCCACCAATAGCTTTTATAATATATATTTTACTAGAACGGGCAAGAGGTAGTTTTCCCACTTATATGACTTAGGAATGCAGGAAAGCTTGACTTAAGCACTTAGTTCTCCACATTAAAGCTATGGGCTACTTAACGTCTCTTTAACGCTTCCGCGAGCAGCAAGAACGATGTTCTAGACTTTCAACACAACCTGAATCGTGCAGGCGTTAAAATCTACAATCCAGACGGACAGACTGACTGCAATCGAGACAGACAGCCTGACTGCAGGCCGGACAAACAGCCTGACGGAGCACTACAGGCTGACCTACGCCATTCCACGTGGTTCATCTGGCTGGCGGAAGTGCCGGCCGATCGTTTGCCCCGCCCGCTCCTCCCGATTGACGCGGGGCCCGGCCGGCCGGCCGCTCGGCCCTCCGGTGCTGGCCGCGGGGAGGGGGAGGGCGCCCGGCCCCCGACGCGCGGCCGGCCGGCAGCGGCGCAGCAAAAACCAGGCGCAGTCAGTGCTCCCTTGACTGGCGAGCGGCTATTCTCGGCGCTCGCAGGCTATTTATAGCTGGAGTGGAGCTGTTTCCAGCGGCGGAATCTAGGTGAGTAGGTGAGATGAGGACGAAGGTCACGGTTAGCACCGAGTACGAGGGCAGGGCCGGCGTGGAGTATGGGCGGTGACCAATTGAGAGCCGATGACAGGGTGGCAGGTTGGGGCGGAACGCGGCAGCGTACGGCTTTGGTGTGGGTGTGAGCGCGAGCTTGACGAGGACGATCGGAAGGCTGAGATGTGCATGTGTCCCTGACGGAAAGGGGACAGTGGCCGATCCTGAAAGGACGGGTGGGCGGCGTCCCGTTCCGTCTGTGTTGATGGCTTGCGCTATCTGGTTCCCTGGAATCGTTATGGGCTCAAAATATCCATGCAGCCGGCGCACCCTGAAACATCAATAAACAACTCGTTTCCTGGCTTACTGGAAGAAGCAGCAATCTTTTAGTGGTCGCGGCTGCATTGAGTTAGATCATACTGCGTACAACGAGTTAGATCAGCTCCATAGAGGAGCATCATGAAACATTCCCCGCAGACCCCAGAGGATCAGACTTATGCTCGACCTCAGGTGGAGGCCGAGTTGACTCCTGTTGAGTCAACTGCGCTTCCGTTGAATCTGCCTGTAATTGGATTATTTTCCGAAGTTGTCGTTCGGAGTGGAGTCAATCGCGTTGGTGTGGATCCGTGATGAGTTGGTTCAGAAGAAACGCGAGTTGTCATTGTTTTCCACATTACGATAGTTCTTACGTGCAGCAGAAGAAACAACGGATGATCTGCTCAACCATCAGCGAAATTCGAGCCAACGAAGCTTTTTTGCGGTTCACGAAACGGTTTAAAGAAGGACGCAAAGTTGTGCTGTGCTCTCTGACTCCTCTTGAGAGTCCGCGAGTCAGAGCTGTAATTGATTCCACAAGATAGGAATCAAACGAGCATGCCGCAGGTTTCATCGTTGACAGGCTATGCGCGTGTCATGACGAGACACACCATGGCCAATACGGTATGGCATCCTTCTAACATGCGACGGATCACAACTCCGGCCATCCTCGTCGTGTAGGCACTGTTGCAGCGGAGGAGGGGGGGGGGGGGGGTCAGACCCCTCTGCTGACCCTGAGTCAGAGATATGGAGGCAAAACAGTGGGGCGACTGGCCCGTCAATTTACATTTTACCTCATCACCTTCTGTCATCTCCTGCAACTTACCGGTAAGGTGAGGTTAAACGGTTTTTGATATAATTTTTGCCGTGTCTACGATTTTTGACAAGTGTCTGTAAAGTCAAGCTAGTGCAAGTTGAGGCAGGTCACCATTGCACCATTCATTCTCCCAAGGACCATGTAAAGTCACCTGAGGTCACCCCGCGTCCTCCAACGTGAAGCCACCTAAGGTCACCCTGTGGCCTCCAACGTGAATTCACCTAAGGTCACCCAGCGGTCTCCAATGTGAAGTCACCTTAGGTCACCCCGCGTCCTCCAATGTGAAGCCACCTAAGGTCACCCTGTGGCCTCCAACGTGAATTCACCTGAGGTCACCCCGCGTCCTCCAATGTGGTGTCACCTGAGGTCACCCTGCTATGTCCAGTGTAAAACCACCCGAGATCACCCCATGTCACCCAATGATCTTAACCATCGGTGACCGTGTGCTGCGGAACGTCATGTGCGGCTGTGATAGCAGCGTCTCACGAAAAGTTCTTTAACTACACGTGGCGTCGTTCTGAAGGCCTGACATGGCTTGATATTGACGTCATATTACACTAAAGATAAGCGTCAGCCACCGTGGCTAACAATGGAATAGATCTTAGGTCTAATTTCGCTCATTTTTCAAGATCTCGCCTGATGTGCTCTCTAACTCGAACGATGTTTCCAGCGGTCACATACTGATTACTTACATCATTTATCCTTTTATTTTTGTGCTGAACACAAAGATTAGTGCGTACAGAGAGAAGGATGCGTCGCGATTTCGAAACACCGATTTTTTGGCTGATTCTTTTTTTTTTTTGGTTGCGGAGACCTTGGAAGGCGAAGTCATCAAGCATATGAGTTGTACCTCATCTGACTTAGCGAATGGTTTCACCCTGCAGGTGAGATAAACGAGCACCACTGAACGTTAAGTGGGCAGAAAGATGCTGTTTAAGTCCACGTGTTAGAGGACTGAGGGTCCAATAAACCCATGTATGTCCATATAGAATGGTTAACGGGTTGGCTGTGTGTAGATTTTGGGACGACTATGGCCATGGATACGGATATGGGTGTGGCGTTTATGATATGGCGGACCGATGCTTCAGAAACGCTACGCAGTGATGCTGCTCGCGCTTCTTTCGTAATAATTAACTTCATCCATAACACACATTGTCGTTGGCGCCATATGGCCGGGTGCTTGGTGCACCCTAAAGCCAAACTCCTTATTATTTAATTTTGTAACTTTTAAACGCAAAATCATAACTTTGCGTTGCCACGTCTAAAAATCTGCCACAATTTATAACTTAAGTGTCGGGAAAATGCGAACAGATGGATAATAAGTGGTCACAAGTGATCAAGGGGGAGGACATCGGGGCGGACGTACTCAGCTGCTAAGGCTATATGGCGTCGCCTGCCTCTCACCCTGGCAAGAAGGACGCGCACCGCGAGGAATCGAACCCCGTACCTCTGGTTTCCCAGACGTGCAGTGGCCAACGCAAACGCGTTAACCTCTACACTATCGACACCCACTCAACTGATCAGGAAGTGGAAGCGAGCAGGGTGGGCACAATGCTATGGGTAGCGGATGAATTGGGTGAAGTACATGTTGCCCGTGAATTTCCTTGGTATGCAAAGTGTAAGGTGATGCACTTGGCTAGTTCCGGCAGTAGGGGCATTAGCTATAAAATGGGAGGCTGAGAGTTGGACCAGGTCTAGGACGAAAAGGACTTAGGGTTTATAATTTCCAGGGATATGAGGGCTGAAAAGCAATGTGGGTCGGCTAGGAGCAAGGCGCTTCGGATGCTAGGGCTTATTAACAGGAATGCCAATTACAAGAGTAGGTATGTTGCCAAAAAGTTGTACTTAGCTTATGTCAGACCACAACTAGAGTATTGTATACAGGCTCTGTCCCCCTGTTTCCAAAAAGATATAGACAGGCTGGAGAGACTGCAGCGAAAAGCAGCTAGGATGACAAATGGGACTGGCAGCTTAGAATATAAGGACAGCCTTAAGGCCTTGGATTTGTATTCACTGGAAGACCGTAGACTTACAGGGGATCTGATTAAGGTATTCAAGATAATAAATGGGATGAACAATGTAGATATACAAAGAGCACTGGAAATTAGGTCGAGAGTGCGAGGAAACCAGTTTCAATGAGCAAAAAGAGGGATTAGAACTATGAAGAGGCAATATGTCATTTATTCAAGGAGTAGTACATCATTGGGAAGGACTGCCAAACGAAGTTGTAGAAAGTCCCTCCATAGCAGCATTTAAAAAAAGTTTGGACAAGTTTTGTGGTCCACGGATCTCATTTCTAGCTAAATTCAGGCAGGTCAGGTGGTAAGATTAGCTCAAGAATGGGTGAGAGACCTAAGGCGGGCCATCCTCGGGGGCCGCTGTGGCTCTTTTTCGGCCTGCTGTCTGTATGTGTGCTAAGTACGTTTGAAATGCGTTGCAAGCTTCGGAAGGAACATCTTGAAAGTCTGAAACGCTGCGACATCCCCAGCCGCTGCCCAGAGGATTCCCCTCGACACCCGGCGGAACGTGACGGTTGGCCGGTGTTCCGCTTCCGACGGACACCTATACATAACATTTCCTCGAAGGCAAGATTAGCGCTCCAAGAACAGGCACGCGGCGTGACGCCGGCCATGTGCATTGGCTCGCATTGTCGGGATCTGAGCTGTCTGCACACATCGAACAGAGCTCTTCTTCGTACGCGAGGAGCTACCCTAAGACGTTACGCCGTGGACCGTGTCAGAATGGACATGCCCCTGACCAAAAACAAGCCTCTTTAGGTGACGGTCTCCGTTGTTTTCTTTTAGATCCTAGTGAGATGGCCTTTAACTGAACTGCGTTTCCGTAGCTGTTGCTATCTGGTCGCAAGCGAGCCCATATGCCTGACGAGTGTTCATACACGCTCAGATGAACAACTGACGGATGTGTTCAGCAGGAAGATGTCCTGTTTTCCAGTGAACAAAGATACACGGGATATTTAGAACGACAGCGATCCGTGTCACAATCCATTGAGGCAGGCAGGTGTGCCTTTTTATCATTAATGTGACTGCTACTTGTCTTGTTAGTTGGCAGATATGCGATGTTTGTTACGGTAGCAGATACGGGCATCAGTAATATTTACGCTAACCATGTTGTAGAGCTTTTGTATCTTTGTACATGAACTCTGGAAGTGCACTGTATAATGTGATGTAAACGCAAGGTTTTGCCGTTTTTGGGGTCACTGTCGCTAATACCAACAGTTCCGGACTAAAAGCTTCTGTTTTCCTATAGCGGCTGAAAGCGTATGTCGTTGTCCTGTTTGACAGCACGTCTTCCTCATGGTGTTTCTACTTGTTTGCAGGAGACATTTGGAGCTGATCTGGTGTCGCGAGGACAGCTATCGGCGAACCAGGTCAGCCACCCCGCTCCTCGTGCTTCTAATCCGAGGGAGACGCCGGTCCGCGACCCGGTGTGGCCGCTCGTACCCAGACACGCTCAGGATGATTGTGCCGTCACATGGGCATGTGATATCTCCGAGAAGTTTGAGATGTACGTTGTCCGGCAGTTTTGCACGACAGCCGCATTTTGCATGATAAGGTTGAAGCTAAGATATGCTATTTGTTTAAAGATCAGGGCAACGCATATGGTACACGAAAGCCAGGCCTGGCGCTGGGCCATATCTTGCAAAGAAGAGAAGCCCGTTCTGAGAATGCATGCCAAATAATTGCATATGAAGGCCACGTATACATGTGCTTCGAATCGAGTGATCACGACTATTGGTATTTCTACGCTGCTATTTAACCCGTCAAATGTAACAGGAAACATGAATAACTGCCTGCCAACAAAGCCAGCAGTCTGGATCTGTGTAGGGCCAAAGAACGAGTACTGTTCGAAAAATGCGTCACTTCATGCGCTTGAAATTGGTTTAGCGCCCAAACCAAGGTGCAAAGCTATCAAGCCGTGCTTACAGAACATTTTGTGATACAAAATAAATATGATGCTCAGATACCTAGTGTACACATAATTTAAATTCATTTCTACGATTCTTTGACTCAGTGTTCCGCTTTGTTTAAATGCGTTGAAGGCTCCTTCCCTCTAAAAGTATGTGAGTCACCCTCTTGGGAATGGGAAGTCTTGTGCAACAATCTTTGCTTGGCGTCGCTCCCAAATACAATAATTTTAGTTTTGATCTCCTGAAATAGTTCTCTTATAATGGTCTTAGCATCGTTCCATTTAACTTCTCTGGATGAACCGACCAAGAGAGTTTCGAGAAGGCTATTGCAAGAAGCTCATGGGTTTCTCCACCGCGGATGTGTTGACTGATTGTCATGCTCACCCCGCTTTTGCAACATACCGTTGTCGCGTCGCTTACATGGTAAAATAGCCGAATGATAGACTTCTGCTCTATGATCAGATAGTCAGAGAACCAGACAACAATCGTAAATCTATGAAAAGACACGCATTAATACTTATGTAATATATATATATATATATATATATATATATATATATATATATATATTGCTTCAAGACGAATAGAGGTGCGGTCTGTATATCCTCCTGCGGCCCGCCGCAAATGTCCATAATATGCACCGTATTTTTTTTTACTCGATGTCGAGTCCGGTCAGCGGACTCGATCGAGCGGCAGCGGGATCGATTCCATCCGAATCAAAGTCCACGGCACTGATTCCGCCTCTGACCCGGGCGGTGCCGCAGGGCCTGGAGTTGACTCCGATTCTGATGCAGGAAAGTTGGCTCATTTCCGGGACTTATTTCCATAGAGTGGATTCCGCTCACAACATTGATAGCAACAGTCAAGAAGGCAAGGCTTAATAAGGCTACATAAAGACCACATTGGTGATATATATATATATATATATATATATATATATATATATATATATACATTCATAGTAATACAGCTCTTTCTTTAACGACTAGTATGTTGCAGTGATACGCAAATTTGTTTGTTTTTTGTCAAATTTGTCAAATTTGTCCCAAATCCTGAGGATTTGGACCGCGTTACTACCGAACCGCCTCTTATGCGTTGTGAACGTCTTGGCTCAGGTGGGGCTGGGGGGGGGGGGGAGGGGGCATTGACTCCCTTTGTCTATATCCATGATGCTCCACACATAAGCTACCAAAGCAACCACATGAATTGCAACGTGCATTGCATCTGAGTCAAACCTTCAGGGATTTTGTGAAGATGGTTAACACAGCCCCGGCTCCAGCATACGCCAAGTATCAAAGGTGATTTCACCTGAACTAAAGGAAAAAATTTCTTATTTTGGGGTTAATCCTGGCCCCCACCAGAGTCCGCACATGCCCACTGGTCACATCAGTAAGGCCCCAACGCTCCAGAGTTTCAATTACAACAACTGCAACTGGTAACAGCAAACGGCAAAAGCAATTCCATTGGCAACAACGGCCCGCCCGCCTCCGGTATCGCTGCCCCACCGGCTGGCGGAGCTGTTGACGCGGCTGCCGCCGTCTGGTGAGTGCCCCCAGCACGCAGGCTGTCATGTCGACGGCGCATTTATCTGTCGCGTCGCCATCTGGTAGAGTTGCCAAGCAGACATGCTTGCGTCACGCGGCGACTACCGTCGTCGCGGGGGCCGTAAGGTGGCGTGCGAAGGTCAGTGCCGCCGCCCCGGCCGCCCTCATCCTGAGCGTAGGAACGGGAGCGGCACGGGGGTGATGCCCCCAGTCTATTTGAAAAAGTTGATGCTCTATGACGGTGCATGAAAAGAATTAGCTTCAAATTTGGCGTTGGGACGCCGTTGTCTCAGACGTTCCTACGCCTATGGCCCTGACCGTAGCCGGTCTCCTTCGCCGTCCCATTCCCAGCCGCCCTTCCTTTCCCTCCCCCGACCAGCTCTCACCGCTCCGCTTGCTCCGCGCCCTCAGCCCCACCCCGCCGCCCGTACAGGACAATGACCGGCGCTATGTTTACGCCGAACCCTTTTCATACATCCTCCAAAAATCCACTCTCCGAAAAAATACCTCCGGCGACGTAAACAAGTTATCTTCGCTTGCCGGCCTCCGGCCGTGCCGTTGTTGTCCGCGCATCGCGGCTTGGCCGGGCGTACTCTGTGTGCGAGAAGGGCGCGCGCAAGTGCGTGCGGCGCGCCGGGGCTGGTCGGCAGGGTTGCTGACCTTGCTGGATGGGCCCCGGCCGGTTCAACCTCGTGGTAGGGTACCTGTAATCAGCTGGTGGGTACTCAGCGGGTCCGGCAAACAACGGCCGCCCGACACCGGAGAGCAGCGGCGAGGAACGGCCGCGCCGGCGTGGGCGCCACGCTTCACCGGGCGCCGCCGGAGCGCGGGAACTTTCCGAACTTTCCGGCGGGGGCCGATGGCCTCGTGTTCGTCCTCTCTCCGACCGGCCGTGGCGGAGCGCATCGTTCTGTCGCGCTGCTCGCTTTTGGCCGCAGCGGTTCTCGACCCATTCCCAGCGTTGCCCCTGCTCAGGGAACGAGAGAACTTGGCCGGTATGAGTGCAGCGTCCCCAGTCGTCATCTCACACACGAGGGAGGGTGAAACTAAGCCCTGTAGCGGCCAGGGTCGTCATCTCACACACGAGGGAGGGTGAAACTAAGCCCTGTAGCGGCCAGGGTCGTCATCTCACACACGAGGGAGGGTGAAACTAAGCCCTGTAGCGGCCCGGGTCGTCATTCTCACACACGAGGGCGGGTGGAAATAAGCCCTGCAGCGTCCAGGGTCGTCATCTCACACACGAGGGCGAATGAAACTAAGCCCTGCAGCGGCCCGCGTCGTCATTCTCACACACGGGGGCGGATGAAACTAAGCCCCGCAGCGGCCCGGGTCGTCATCTCACACACGAGGGCGGGTGAAACTAAGCCCTGCAGCGGCCCGGGTCGTCATCTCACACACGGGGGCGGATGAAACTAAGCCCTGCAGCGGCCCGGGTCGTCATCTCACACACGAGGGCGGGTGAAACTAAGCCCTGCAGCGGCCCGGGGTCGTCATTCTCACACACGCGGGCCGGCGAGGGTTAGTTCTGCAATGACGGCGACGGATGCGCCTCGGACTATGGTAAATGAGCGTTTTAGTCGTCATAACAATGCTTTCTTGACTGAGCTTAAGGGGAGGAGCCATTGAACGAAGTAAGTTGGCAAAGTGCTATTTTACCTGGGTACTGATGGATTTGCAGCTGCTTGAAGGCACCTTCCGTGTGCACCGTGCTGAAGTCGGCTGTAAGCATGCTTACCGGGAAATGTATGCGATGTCCTAGATTGCAGGGCTGCTTTCTGCCCTACCTCGTTGGGGGAAAAAGGCCTACCTCGACTTTAAAATGCTCATCTTTCCAAATACTTTGTTATTAAGTTATTCACGCATCTGATATTCAAACATCAGCTTGTTAAAATAAGTGTGGCGGTCTCTAGCCTAAACTGACATTGATACCGACGAGACCGGGTCCGTCCCATTAATAACATAACACGTTTGGAGCGCCTGCTTGCTTTTGTTCGACGCCTGAAGGTTCGCCCGATGACCTGGGGGTTGAGTTGGTTCTCCCGTGAAAACTCCCCTTTCGTAGCCCACATTATTTAGCCTAGTCTATTTATCCAATCCCGCCGATCCACCGGTTGAATAGATTAGATAGATTAGGTAATGGTAGAATAGCCACGTGTCTCCATTGGGCTGCATCAGCCCCCAGGGGCCACGACTTGCCGTTTTCTGTCAGCGCCACCTCCCAGCCGGTGCCTTGCTGCTTCGGAGGGATCTCTGCACTCCGCCTGGACGCACTGTGTTTGACTTACGCACCCGAACGTTTATCTCGTCTGTGTACGCCCTAAATCCCTCGGCTGGTTGTGCAAACACCGTACAATGACGTACTAATCTTATTGTCATTTACTTGCAACCGTCCATCCGCATGAATCCCAGGAATGAGCGCCGGGATCGGGTCCCCGAGTCACCTGGATTCCGGTCCTTCCGGGATTGATTCCCCGAGTCTCCTGGATCCCGTTCCTTCCGGGATCGGGTCCCCGAGTCTCCTGTATCCCGGTCCTTCCGGGATCGGGTCCCTGGGTCTCCTGGATCCCGGTCCTTTCAGGATCGGGTTCCCGAGTCTCCTCTGTCCCGGTCCTTCCGGGATCGGGTTCCCGAGTCTCCTCCATCCCGGTCCTTCCGGGATCAGGCCCCCGAGTCTCCTGTATCCCGGTCCTTCCGGGATCGGGTCCCCGAGTGTCCTGTATCCCGGTCCTGCCGGGATCGGGTTCCCGAGTCTCCTCTATCCCGGTCCTTCCGGGATCGGGTCCCCGAGTCTCCTCGATCCCGGTCCTTTCGGGATCGGGTCCACGACTCTCCTGGATCCCGGTCCTTCCGGGATCGGGTCCCCGAGTCTCCTGGATCCCAGTCCTTTTGAGATTCACTCCCGCCATTGCCAACCTT